GCCAGTTAACTAGCGGGCCTTCTAGAATACCCTGGAACCGAGGGGAACTCTGAAAGAATACGCCCATTGGCTACAAATCAATATATGATTGGTTGATCAAACTGTCAGTCCAAACGTACGCTCTCATTCAGTGCAACGGCCAGGGCATTCTATCAAGGATGTAGAATACCTTGGTTGAAGGATATTCTACCCAGAGACCCAGAACAAGATCTGATTGGTTGCTTTCTTTTCTAACACAAACCCACTGAAATGCGTAGAGCATGGTCCGAGAAGGACAAACAAATCAACGTAACACTGTAATATTACAGATCAACAACCCGGATACGATTCTCATTTATTCATTTTATTACATTTTATTTATATAATTAAATCGATTTGTTGTTTGTTTTATCTGAGTGCTCCAGGGTATTCTCTGAATACCTTGAAGGCCCTGACGGTTCGCCACTGATGTGTTTATACTAATGTCAAGCAGGCTGTCACCTCCAATTTGGGTGGTGGTTGATGATACGAAATATCAGATAGTTTATACATGGCAAAGCAAATTGAAACAGACCCCACTGTGCACAGTTTCGTTTAGGAAATATTGCAAACCATTGATTCTCTGGATTATATGTTTACAGTTAGCAGTGCTATGTAATGTTTAAACGTCACATTCTAGTATCGCTTGAGCTCCTTTGAACCTTGTCTGAGGTGATTCCAGAAAAAGGACTCACTACAAGGTACAATCCCTAGTGGAAAATGAAAAAAGAGTCATATCGAGTATAGACGTAACATGCATTGGAAAGCTGGAAATAATGTCACTCGCTCTGACCTGGATACTCAGTCTGCTGAAACAAGACGTCAGCATCGCCTGGTGATCAGCGCACTGCAGCCAGCATCAATTATTCCAAACACTCAGCCTTACATAGTAGAAACGAGCTAATGGAAGCTAGCCAAGCAGTGGTTTTGGCATGTCTCCACTTGTTTTCAAAATCTAGGTCACCAAATGGTTTTTGAGAGTGTTTAGTGAAACACTGCGGCTCGACTGGAAGAAGACAAAAAAAAGAAAGAGTGGGAGAGAGCATTAGGGTTATGAGAATTAGTATTTGAGCTGGCTTTGCTTTGAAAAAGGTCTTGACATGCTAATTAGAAAAGCTAGCTCCCAGTTTGTCCCCTTAGCATTTAACATGCTAAATCCTGTATTAAAAATAGCATCAGCACCACGGCCTGCTTCCTCTGAGCTTTTCTGCAGCGCCGGAGGAAACGACTGGCTAACGTAAAGTGACAGCGTGGAAGAGCCCACATGGCCATGGGCTACATTAGCATACTGTCAGTACGTACGGACTTAAACACACACACACGCACACACACACACACACACACACACACACACACACACACACACACACACACACACACACACACACACACACACACACACACACACACACACACACACACACACACACACACACACACACACACACACACACACACACACACACACACACTCACACTCAGTCAGAGCAGAATTAAGCCCTTGGGGTCAGCACATTCGCTTCAATATAAAATCTAATATATGGCCGGCTAAGCGCTGTATCTTTGATTTATGTAAGTGGACGATGTAGCGATCTGTTTTAACACACTTAAGTCGGTTATTTCTGGACTGCATATGGCACCACAGGCTGGGGTTGATTCAGTTAGCATTTAGTCACGTTGTATTTCAAATTAAAACGACATTCAAGTCTTTTAAGTCTTTGGGAGCAGTAAATGGATCCAGTCAGCTCTGCTTGTTCTCGGATGATTTCCTCAAGGCATGATGTCGTTCTTTAAAAGAGATCAAACATGAAGTCACAGTTTGCTCTGTTTTGTTTCTGTCATTCATTTAGACCAAGATCCAAACAAAGCCATGCAATGTGTTAAATATTGTTAGTTTTGGGGAAATAAATTCACGTTTCTGTTGAAAATAGAATCAAAATAATGTTTTCAGCAGTATTTTCTTAACATGCACGCTTTGTTGCTTTATGTTTCAAATAAGCCGCCATCTGGTAATAATGGTATGCTTCAGGGAACTGAGGAAACAATATGATTCAGAAAAGAAAATCTGAATAATTGCTGCATGACTCTATTAGCTAGATATTATTTCTTTGTCCAGTGTTTACCTTAAAATCGACCCTGCCCCCAAACCCCACTGCAGAGATTTAGTGGCGGCTGTACTGAAATAAAAATCTCCTACTTATCAAATTATTATATATATATATTATAATATACAAGGACTTTATTGCCTTACATTTAAACTGTACTGAGGTGAAAGAAAATGTGCTATATTGTGCATTATTTTTTGCAGAAACCTCAAGGAAATTAGCTTTTCGTTTTGTTTTTAAACTTTCCCACTTTCTTTCTTGTGTACCCTCTTTTCTCTTTGTCTCTTTCTCTCTGTTCTCATATGACACACACACACACACACACACACACACACACACACACACACACACACACACACACACACACACCACACACACACACACACACACACACACACACACACACACACACACACACACACACACAGACATGCAAACACACGCACAAACAAGTAATCACCGATTCACAGTGTGTGTTTTCCTGTGCTGCAGTCACAGCAGGCGTTGACCATGAAGCAGAAGTTCACTAAATCATCCAGACACTGCCGCCTTGCTCATTAATCTCTGTCAGCACACACACACACACACACACACACACACACACACACACACACACACACACACACACACACACACACACACACACACACACACACACACACACACACACACACACATACACACACACACACACACACACACACACACACACACACACACACACACACACACACACACACATACACATACACATACACATACACATACACATACACACACACACACGGAAAGCAAAAACACACATATGCACCCAAACACACGACACACATGCGTACTATGAGCTCCACAGCACATGCGTCTTCCCGCTGCATTTGTTTTCCCAGCAGCGGTTTAATTGTCATTGACAGTTTCCATTTGAACCGCTGCTCATTTCACTCAATCATCTCAGGAAGTGGAGATTCCTCCTCAACTCCAAAGTGGAAACAATTTTGCCACAAAAGGGCTCTCGTATTCAGAGGATTATTAAGCATGAAAGCTCTGTTATTATCACGTAAATAGCAGTTTCGATTTTCATTTTGGATTGAAGGGAATTGGGGGGAGATCTCGCTACCCAGCTAAAGATGGATGTGCAGTATGTCAGTGTAGTGAACCAGAAACACTGAAAAGATGAACCAGTTGTATTTCTCGCTTCCGTCCTGTTTCTTCGCCCTGATTGAGTGTTTGAATGTGTGTCAGGTCGGCGGCTTTGCGGAGATTGTAAATGAATCGTCACAGAGATCAAAGCCTGGATCAGGTGCGGCAGGATTTATCTTTTAATAAAGCGTGTTACTCCAGAGCGGGAGTATTCACCCGGCAGCCACAATCAATTATCTGACGCCCCCTTCTCCCTCCGTCTCTCTCTCCTTCTCCCCCTTTCTCTGCTGTTTCCTATTTAGTCATTTATCATAGCTCCAAACTACTCGTTGCATCAGCCTGAAATCTCCGCCCTGAAACGGTGGAGCTGAAATATGAAAACATGTTTCTCTAAAGTCTCGCCTGCTTTCTTCCTCATGTTCCGGTTTCTCTCCTCATCGTTTGATTCCTTCCTTTCCTATCATCTTATTTTCCTAATCTGATTTATAATTTGTTTTTGATCGTCCATCCCGTTCTCATTTCCATTCCTTTCATCTTGTTTGTTCTTCTCATCAATGCGTCACTCCTTCTTCATGCTCCGTTTATTTTGTCTTTCCCTTTTTCTTTCCGTTGTTTCATCTGTTTTTTCAATTTGTTATGTTCTCTCTATCTTCTGTTGAGTTTTGTTATTGAATCCTTTCCTTGTTCCTCTTGTTATCTTGTCTCCCCTCTCCTTTCTTCTTCTCCTGTAACCCCTCCCCTCTTAATACTACTCTTGTTTTTCACCTCTCCTTGTTTTCTCCACTTCTGTCCTTGTTCCCTCTCCTCTTCTTTCCTATTCTCCTTTTCTCCTCTCCTCTTCTCTCCATGTCTCATCTCCTCTCTTTTTCTTTCCTATCCTTGTTTTTTCAATTCCTTTCCTCTCCTCATTTTTTCCTATCCTTGTCATTTCATATCCCTTTCTCTCCTTGTCTCCTCTACTTTCCTTTCCTTCCATTTCCTCTCCTCTCCTCTACCCTTACCAGCTCCACTGAGCCCTTGAGACACCTCATAACAACCTGAATGAGTCCTCCAGGGGCCTCAAATGATGGACTCCCTGTGAGTGTGTTTTTCTGTCTGTGTGTGTGTGTGTGTGTGTGTGTGTGTGTGTGTGTGTGTGTGTGTGTGTGTGTGTGTGTGTGTGTGTGTGTGTGTGTGTGTGTGTGTGTGTGTGTGTGTGTGTGTGTGTGTGTGTGTGTGTGTGTGTGTGTGTGTGTGTGTGTGTGTGTGTGTGTGTGTGTGTGTGTGTGTGTGTGTGTGTGTGTGTGTGTGTGTGTGTGTGCAGAAGTTCCCATACACACTCCCACGAGCAGAGGCTGTGTCTGTTTTCAGCTCGGCAGTGTGTTTGCCTTTATAGGAATTTGGCAGTTTAGTTCATGCTTGACGTGTGTGTGTGTGTGTGTGTGTGTGTGTGTGTGTGTGTGTGTGTGTGTGTCTCATGTAGGCCCCTTCCTTTCTGAGCCTCATGACCTCCAATACAGTTCTATGATTGGTAGCTTTTTCTCCTACTTGTAACATATTTTTTCACTTTGCATCAGAGTTCAGTTCCCATCATAAAGATTTCTCTGTAGAAATGCAGTATTTTTAAGACCCTGACGACCTTGTTTCTTCCTTCTGCTTTAGACAAGTATGCATGTTTCTGATTTGCCAGTTTACATGAAATGAGATGAACACACACATATATTCCTGTCTACATGCTGATTTGTGTCCATGTCTTCTCCTCAGGCCTTTGGAAACGCTAAGACCGCCCACAACAACAACTCCAGCCGCTTCGGAAAGTTCATCCAGGTCAACTACCAGGAGAGTGGCACTGTCAGAGGGTGAGACAACACACACACACACACACACACACACACACACACACACACACACACACACACACACACACACACACACACACACACACACACACACACACACACACACACACACACACACACACACCACACACACACACACACACACACACACACACACACACACACACACACACCCATCAGTCTGTGTAATGCATTACTCATACATGTACAAATACTTTGTAACGGACTGGTAACATTTAATCACTTATAAACAGTGATTTCACTCTTTTTAAGTGACACTTAGGGATTGTTAGTCAACTATTTGAGCAAATTATTTAATATGCATTGAATTTGACAACTAATATTCCCTCTGGATTTTTTTTAAGTTGTCCTCTCTGCAGTTTCTATTTTAATTACACAAGTCTGCAACCCAACCGTATTCCCTCCATGTTGTTTCCTTATGATCAGCAGATTTTAGTCTCACCGCTGCAGCAGCTTTGTTTGCTCACTTGGCTCTTTAACTTTAATGTCCCTGTCCGTGTGTTTTATCTTCAGGGCCTATGTGGAGAAATACCTGCTGGAGAAATCTCGTCTGGTGTACCAGGAGCACAATGAGAGGTGAGCGGGTTTGACTGAAAAGAGGAAGAGGAGGAAATATCTGACTACATCTGTGCACTGACCATTTCATTACGTAGAGACATCTGACAGATTGTCTGTTGACATGTTGTTACCTTACTCATTCAACACAGTTTAGTTTTCTGACATACTCTCATCGGGAGATTTTGTCCCAAACTTCACTCCTTTTTCTTTTTTGTTATTTGTGTGTGTAGCTTGTAACTAAAAAAATATTATATGCACTCTCTTGTCTTTTGTCGTACCCTTAAATCTAATCTTCTTAACGTCACATTACCATGAACATCTGTTTAAACCATAAACTTCCTTTGTGAATACACATTTCTTTCCATTAAACATCTCAAATATATAACCCTAACCCTGGTACAGCTATAGATAATAAGAGAGAAGGACAGAAACATTGAGTCATATTCCTTCTTGTTGAGAAATAATATGTCAAATCCATATCTCTTCACGGATGTGTCTCAGAAACATAATACTGAAATAGCCTTCACTTCCTCTTCAAGCTGAGCACATACAGTATATCAGGTGTCCATCTGAGATACGCCTCTGCTCTCTGCTTTGTAAGTTAACACTGCAAACTATCACGTGTGCCTTTGAGATCAGTCATTTAATTACACAGCAGAACTATTTTGGAGAATGAGAAACTCCTTTTGTGATTTCATCTTTTCTATGTGTTCAGTTTCTCTGTCTGCTCTCACTTCTTGTTTTAATTTCTGCACATCCTCTAATGCAGCACACACCTATACATACACACATAGGAATCGCCACCTGTACCCACATCCCTAAAAGAATGGTTATTCTCTTGGACCACATACTGGGTCTGGGTCTGCCTCCGTATCATTCAACAGTAGAAACAAACAGAAAAAGACCCTCAGATCCCACCAGTGTAATGTTTTTCAACAAGAAGGAACAGAAACATTGTAAAAGCCTCCGCCGGTCATCTAATCCCTCTCACCCTGATTGGCCCGGGGTCTCCGTTTCATGCTGATGACAGGCCCTGGCAGCCATATTGATAGAGGGTAGAAACTGAAGACGGGACCCCCCAGACGAAGCTCAGTGGTGGGGGAGAAGACGGACTGATGATGAAATGCAATCTTAAAACTCCCGCATCATGACAGGTTGCCTCTGTTCGACCTTTAGAGGAGGAAAATAAAAACGAGCTGCGCTTTCCAGTAACGCTGTGAGGCTTTATGGCTCTTAACTTTGATGCTGGTTGGTTCAATAAAAGGCTGTCAGCAAAGTGTGGTTCCGTCTGAAAACACAAGTGGTATGTTTTATTTTTAATATATTGTGTATACTTCTGTCAAAGTCAGCTTTATTGTCAAAATTACTACATGTACAGAAATCTCGAGATATCGTTTCCCGCAGTCCCACAGTGTGACATGTATACATACAACAAAACAAAAAGGGCCTAGAGATAAACGGGGTATGCAATTTAAAATGTTAATAATATATCTAAAAAGTTCAAAGTACAGTTTCAGTGCAGTAGCAGCGGAGCTGGGCAGAAAAGTGACTTGTGTGTGTGTCACTGAGGATCATTAACAATACAATTCAATACAGCTTTAAAACCTCCAGACCAAAGTGCTGTACAGTCAAATTAACAAACAAAACTCACACAGCACAGCTCACACACCATAAAACAAGTATAAATAAAAACAATAGACAATTTAAAAGCAACAATCTAAAAGATGTCAATACGCAAAGGAGAAGAGATGGGTTTTAAGAAGCGATTTGAAAACAGACATTGACATGATTGAGCAATCTCTCACATCTGTACGCTCGATATGACCAGCAGCAGCAGCAGCAGCCAGCTAGCTAGCTTAGCTTAGCACAAAGAATGGAAGCAGTGGGAAACAGCTAGCATGGCTCTGCTGATGGTTATAAACTCAGCCTGAAGTCGAGCCCTTTGGCGGGTCAGCACAAATCTTTTTTGGGGTCAAGGGCAGTGGTTTAGGTTTTGTATCCATGTCAGTAATGGATGTGTTCGGGGAAACAACGAGTCCCCTTTGCCCTGAAAACACTGTAATCATTAAGAAACCTGATCTGCACATGTCAGCATTCCTTTTTACTGCTGGGACTTCAGATCGGCCGCCAGCTAGGGAACTATTTTAGAAGCTTATTCAGTGTTTGTTGGAATTCTGTTTATCAAGAGTTACTTCTTAAGGATGATTCAATGTATTATTTTGAGAAAGGTTTGAAGTTTACACAGAAAGAAAGCACATCGTAGCATCTTCATGAGGGCAGATTTCCTGGTTAATCGTAGCTGAAATAACAGCAGGAGCAATGACGGTGATGAAAATCATACATTTATCAATCAATGAATCATTTATAAAGCCTAATATCAGAATTATACACGTGTCATATGACCCTCTCTATCCTTAGTAAGCACAAGGAAAAACCAAACAAATACAAATCGAAGGGAAACAGAGACTAGACATCATTAGATGTATGTGTGTAAATAATCAACAACATAATAAAATACACAAAGAATCCAAATGACAAAAAGTACAATGTGACTGTACAGTATATGAAAAAGTGGATCCAAAGGAAGGATGTCGAAAAAGAATCAAAGTTTCGCCTGAAAAATGCCAAGGAATATATAATATTTAGTATTGTATTAAAATGTAAGCTCTACTCGTACTACACCTTAGTTTTTAATTAAAATCATCCTTCTCCTCATCCACCAATTACAGATCGGGATTCTTTAATATCCGCTCGGGGCTTTCTAACTTTCCACCACTCCATCAGACTCTAAGCGTCCCTGTGCAGAGAAGAGAAGCTTGTTTCCAGATGTAATCAAATGACTTCTCAGCATTTGTCACCGAAGCTCATCTCCTGACCGGCAGCCCACACAAACACACTGCCGCTTTGTCTGAGTTGAAATGTGAGCATGTGGGGTTGAAAAGGTGTGACTTATTTGTTAAATGCTACAGGATTTAGTTGCGGAACAGGCGGCAAACAGATGGTTTGCACTGTGCTCTTATACAAATCTTTGAACAGAGTTTTCTCCCTGAGGCGCCGTTTCAGCGGAGCGAGGAGATGTGAAATCTGCCGTCCTCACTTCACCTCTGATGGAATTTTAAATGATTCAAGAAATCAATAAAGGGAGGGGTTTCGTGCTGTAGAATTATACCCTCTAACTTGTTTTGTGTGTGTGTGTGTGTCTAGGAACTACCATGTTTTCTACTACCTGTTGGCCGGAGCCAGTGAAGAGGAGAGGAAGTCCTTCCACCTGCTCAAACCTGAGGAATACCACTACCTCAACCAGGTGCGCACACACACCAAAGCAGAAACACACTGTTCAGTGCATATATAAATACAAATCTCTGACATATGTTAATGCCTTTCTGATGTGTTAGCTTTCAAATGAGTCAAATCCTGGTTCTCACACCATGACAAGGAGGTAAAAGCTGCTGCACCATGCTGACTTGCTAATTGTAAAATGACTTTTTACAATGAATTTAAAGCATTAACTACTTATGTTGGTTCGAATTAGAATTAGAATCAAGCAATGATTTAAAGACATGTATTGTGACATGACAAAAAGACACAAATGTTATTCTTGAAATCAATCCAAAGCAGCATACACCAACGATGATAAACCAACAGTTATTTTTATTGAATCAAAAGCCTTTTTAAGGGGAAATTATTCTGTGACAGTAAGAATAACAAGGTCATTGAGCAAGACATCAAACACCTGACTTGTAATTGGTGTGAAAACATTGTCTTATCATTACCTTGTAGTTAATCTTGTCCTTATATTTTAACTCCAAATATATTCAGATTATGATCATTTAAATTCAAATTCAAATGTATTTTCTTGTGAAGCAAAAGCACACTACCGCTCATTTATTCTGTGCATACCTGAGAGACTACTTCCAATGTGAGGAAATTGGTGAATGCCACAAATCCTCCTAAATCACCCGTAAATCGCCACATAAAAACTAAGTGGATCTCACATGTGACATTTTAGTTTTACTGCTCTACGAAGAATTCATTTCAAATGGTAATAACAATTCCTCTCATTACAAATAAAGAACATTCATCGTAAATGCCATACTTCATTATTGATAAATGAGGCTTGAAGGCACTAAGTAGAGAGATTTATGGATGGTGAAGATGATTATAGCAAATTCAGCATCTTCCTTTCCCTCCTTTTCTCTCTTCTTTACTCATTTATTAGAACTGGACCACTCCTCTGAAGTGTTGATCTCACTAGCCAAGAAATGTCAACCCTGCATCTGAATGTGTGTGTGCGTGTGTGTGTGTGTATGTGTGTGTGTGTGTGTGTGTTGAGGGTTGTGTTCACGTGCCAAAAGCCCATATGTGTGCATCTTTCTCGGTACATCTGTGTGTGTTGGCAGCAGATGTGTAAGACTCAATTTCCCTCGTCCTATATCAGTACACTTGGGACACACACAACAATCCAAAACAAAATCTCCTTTGTTCTTCTCTTTTGGCGTCCCAAAAAAGTAACGTTTTTTGTACCCTCCGTTAATCCCCAATGACAACAACAACACCCCCCCCCCCCTCATCCTAACATCCTCGTGTTATCATGCAGCTCTGTTTCCATGGCAACCACACATACTCAGGAGTTAATCTGGCGTTGACTTGCTCTCTTGCACAGAGAGCGCCGGCGGTCACACACACACACACACACACACACACACACACACACACACACACACACACACACACACACACACACACACACACACACACGCACACACACACACTCCTGAAACACATGGTGTCACAGTGGAGCAAAATGATTATCCATATTTATCTCTGTGTTCATCTGTGTCTTCCAGTCAGTCTCTCAGCAGTACATTCCCCCGTCTCCTGTAATCCTTAAATAACCAACATTTTAGATAATAATAATATAAATTGTAAGTAAGTGTTGCTATCCTACAGAGGATTCTCACCTGAATCTGCAGCTTAGTTTAAAAGATCTTTGTGCGAGTTACAACTCATTGTTGTAAGTAACAATGTAATAATAATGTAATAACTCTCACCTCTCTTATTATGTGCTGTTATCGGCTTCAGCTGGGCTTTAAAAAAAATTGAAATAACTCTTAAACCCGCTTCACACTTCTTCACAACAACACAAAGTTAGCTAAGAAGTGCCATATCAAATGTCATATGTGATTAGGTAATGTTGAATCCAGCGTTGCAATGGCTGTCTCCGGACCAATAAAAAGTAGTTTAAAGAGAAGGATTTACTGGGCTGCAGTCAATATATACTAAAAAAGGTTTTGATTATTAAATATGTTAATGATTTGAATGTTTATTAGATATTTTAAGTGCCTGTACTTTACTTTACGTACTCAATGTTATGTTGACCGCTTTTATGCTTTATTTTAAATCTACAGTTACTATTTAACTTTTGTACAGTATACAATAAGTAAAAATGATCAACCAGCTAATACAGTAAGGTGCTACAGTAGATAAGTACATACGTACAGTAGTAATGAAAACGTCTATACTTTTACTCAAGCAAGATTTAGATCGCTCCGTTTCTGAAAGTAAAGATCACATAATGAAAGAAAGTCAGTGACATCATTGAAGCAGTTTTCAGAAATATAAAACCTCTGGATTCAATGATTGCAGCTCTGGAGATGTGTCTGTTTCCATGTGTGTGAGGATTAGTACTTTCTTCCTCATATATTAACAGCATGTGTCACTTTTCTCAGTGTGCGTTTTGTTGTTGTGTAATTCCTGCCTTCTTAACCCGCTCTGCCTTGCTTCCAGATGACAAAGAAATCGCACAAACTCCACTGGGACAATTACTATGAGAGCGACCTGGTCAGTATCCTGTGGATGACGACTCGTCTGTGTGTGTCGTTGGGTGTGTCGTTGTGCTCGGGGTTTTTGGTGCCAGTCTTGTTCTCGTTCTCTCTCCGCTGTGCACACTGCTTTGGAGCAAAGACTGAGGCGACCTGAAGTGACCTCAGCGGGTCACACTCAGAAAAGAAAACGTTTAAAGGGATCCATTTATTGTAAAGACTTTAATACTGTAATTGTCTCAAGATATTTATCGATAGTTTTTATGCAGTATCTCATTTAAATTGAGGTGTTAGTAAAACTTGACACTTCATTTGTATAGCTATAGGTATTTTAGTTTGATTTCCTTATTTTAACATTCAAATCAGAGACATATCGGAGGTCAAAAACACATATCTCCTTTTAAGATAAGAAGAATTTGACCTCTTAAATCCTAAATTCTTCTTGAAACAAAGCTACATAACTATATATCTTCAGTATGGTAATAATCTAAATAAAACTCAAACATAAAGGGATCCCTTGAAACTAATATTTGGCTTTGGATGCTTTGCTGTCGGGATTTTAAGGAAAATATGTTGAATCTGGGATCTGCTGTCTTTAAAGGGAAGGTTCAGGATTTCACTTTAAACGCCACATTTGCATTCATTAACTGAAATATAACAAAACAGTGCAAGTTAATGTACTTTAGAGAAAGTAGAAGTCATAGGGTTATTATAACAAAACACCCATTAGCATAAGGTTGAATACAAGAGCAGAAAAACAGGAAAGACTGTGAGCATTATATATAATAATGAGGTTTATTTGGACTGCAGATAAATGGCATATGAATTCACAAACAGATGCAATGTTTGTAGAGGAATTTCCTTCAATTAACTTTTCATTTTTAGTAAGTATCTTCAAAAAAAAGTTGTATTTGTAGCTTGTGTCAGGTATAATTCAGTAGGAATCAATACAAAAGTAAATGTATTTCCCAATACATAATTGAGAATAACCAATAGTTCTTTATTGCCACAACTATCAAATGTGATTATTTAAAAGGTTGTATCTGCCTAACAGTAAAAGCCAACAACTTGTTTTGCCAAATCTTAGGTTTGCATAAGCAGTAACTTAATATAGCTATTGTTCGGCTGAATGAAAGTGAGCAGTGAGGCTTGGATCAATAAGATAAAATTACAAAAGCTGGATTCCTCTCGTGTGTCGATATGTAACTAGAATCCAGCTAGGGAATAGTGGATCCTGCTATTACACAATGCACTATTTAAAGAGTTCTTGACAATGAATGTTAACAAAAACAGGGTTTGATTTGAATGATTAAATAGGTACAACAATATATACAGAGGAAGGTCATTTTATATCTGAGCAATAGCTTTTACTATCAAACCTTTCTGTGAGGTATAATCAACCAGGATTTAAAAGTTGTACAAATTCAAATTACTACTTGTTATTTCTTAAAAGATAACTTCCTTGAATGCAGTTTGTTTAAAAAGTGATCAATCACATCCTGAAACTTCCCTCTAAGTGTGTGTGACGTGTGTGTGTGTGCCGTTCTTTGAGCCACTGTCTCCACCTGAGGTGAGCGATGTTTGGTCAGTGGGATATGTTGTGTGTGGTTAGGGGATTCAGTATCTGCTAATAGGAGATTATGTTACTTTGACTTTGCCGGCGAGCAAACACTTGAAATGAGAGTCGGTCAGAATAAATACGACTCATCTGTTGGTCTTAGCTCTTGATTTTGGCTCTTTGTCCCCCACTTCTTTTTATTCAGGAAAGGTTTTCTGAGGACACTCTTAATGTACAATAGATCCTTTTTCACATTCATCTAGTTAAATGAGTTAACATACAATCTGTCTTTTAAATATCAAATACTCCCCATTATGCACAGCTCTGATATTCTGTCGTCCGTAGGATTTTCAGGGTTCACAATTAATTTAATGTCAAGGCAACAAATGTGTAGACATTACATTACATGTTACTTGTTAGACGCTTTTATACAAAGCGACGTACATACTCAGTACTGTGGACAATCCCCACAGGAGCAATTTGGGGTGTAGTGTCTCAGGAACACAACGACATGCTGACTGCAGTGGGACTTGAACTTGCTATCCCCTGATTCGAAGTCCAGCACACTACCCACTGAGCCACAGCCTCCCTTAGACATACTGTCTGTGTACATTTCTAAAATCCCTTTGACACATCATTGCAATGAAAGTAGCATTTATTGACAAATGTAGGATTTCTTCTAACATAGCAACAATGCAAATCAAAGCTTATGCTGAGGATTTTAGAAATGTCTTTGACTATGCTTTACATTACATGTTACTTTCATTCTTATTTTTCATTGTCAGTCCTCGTTAAAATATCAAACAGTTTTAGCCATTGTGAATCCAAGCAGCTTCCGTTCCTAAAAAGGAGAAAGCTACACATCTAACGTTTTTAAAGCCAGCCTATAGGTCAGATTAATTGATAGTCAAAAACAGATTATCAAAAAAAGATTATTTTCAAATAAAACTTCACAAAACAGTGAAGAAGATTGACCTGATCGATGCGTTCATTTTAGAGCTAAAGCAATGATGTGTTAGCCTAGCTTAGCATAAAATAGCTTACCCGGCTGTTTCTAATGTGAAAAACAACACGTACTTACAACTCTTAAGATGCCGTTTTTACAGACTGTATCTAGTTTGTCTTCGTAACACAACAATGTAAGAAGGTCCATTTCTGTTTTTGGTTGGAGTAACACGATAACTTTCACAATGTAGCCTACTTAAATATGCTTCACATGAGCAATGGGCAGATGGATAAAGCGTAATTTATCAAGAAATAGACCATGTAACTCCGTCAAAATCACTTACATTGTTTTAATTGATTAAACGCATTAAGCTACAAAAACATCATGTTATCAAGTCAGCTTTAGCAAACCAGGCTAGCTACTTCCCAAATGATTAGCTTTGCTAGGCTAACCACGCCCTGATCCCATATATTTGTTTATTTTCATGATTTTGAATTGCTATCCTCTATTTTATTTTAGCATCTTCAAAACCTTTTTTCTTATATGGCCTTGTTTTTATTTTATAGGTTATCATAATGCCTTCTTTCGTTTTATTTTAAGCTGTTTTGAATTGTTTTGTTATTACTAGGGGCCACAACATGGAAAGACATTTGCTTTGCTTTCCCAAAAGACAAAATAAACACATTTTAATGTATCTCTCACTCATCTCACACTTGCAAAGGAAGCCATAATGTTCCTAATTGTTGAACTACTCCTTAAACTTCGCTGACGCTTGCTCCCTCGGCTCCTCGTTCTCATATTTTTTCCTATCCCGCCTCGCTGTTTGCTGACACGCTGTCTCCCTCAAGGGTCTGTCAATGACCTCATCAGTCTGTGACCCCGCTTCAATGCCATGATGTCACCGTCTTGACAAACCCATAAACCCATAAACACACACACACTCACACTCACAGACGTACACACCACAGCTCTTGACAGCTGTCTGAGCATCTGACCAGCCCTTTGGGTCTTTTTAACCCTTGACCTCTTCCATTGGCTAATGTAGGGGGGGTGGGCTCGCTGCAGTAAATAGAGACACCCAGTGCTTTAGACATGTGTGTATACAGACTCCAGATGCAACGTCTGGAGCTGAAAATAGAAAATAAACCAATGTGAATTCATAAAAGATTGACTAAGATCCCAAAGACCAAACATGTTCTGGATGTTTGATGTGTGCAGTCGGGTGTTTGGTTCTGGGCCGCTGTGGCTGTGTTGTTTTTTTTTAATGCATTTTGTGCTTGTTTTGGTGTCTATGGTTTATGGTCGTGTGGAATGTCTAGTGACGGGGTGGCATGCTGCTTTTGGCGCAGAATCGACAGGGTGCCTTGTCAACATAAATCATGATTAAGTCATGGTAAGTAAGCCTCGGCTGGACGGCGCATTACTTTTAACTGGATCCATGAGCGAATCTGTTAAAAAGCTGCATGTGCTGCGTCAGCTGGGCTTGACTCAATTTGGTGTAATTCTGCACCAGAAGTGTTGCAACTGGCAAACAGTTACAATTGTATGAGTGAGAAGAGATTCTTTGTTTAAAATCTGAAAGAAGAGCAGATTGTTTCCTAATCATCCTTTCTCAAGAACACCAATAGCTACGGTTTTGCTTTTCAACCACAGTATTCCCTCGCAACAGGCCCAAATTGATCTCTTTATTTTCTCAACTTCCTTAAACGTATCACATTGTGCTGCTTGGCACTGAGGTCTCACATACCCAGCAATTTGAAAACTGCCTTTTACACGGGTCTCGTCGTGGCTGGAGAAGCCTCAAAACCCCTTTGTTGCAATTGGAGAAGCTCGCAGGAGAAACACGCCGATTGTTGGCTCCGCACTTCCTGAGTAGTTCGGAGCCAGAGGAAAACAATGGAGAGGCAGAGGAGTGTTGAATGTTAAAGCGTAGAAGAAGAGGAGAGTGTGGATGATGGGTTCCTGAGTCTCCTCTCGCTGGCCGCTCGCTGTGGTATGTGCTAATTACAGCCTGAGAGAGACATGCTGACCAACCGGAGGCCTGAGGAGACACACACACAGTCACTGTATACACACACACATCTACTGTACATACCTCACTTTTTTCCTACGCTACTATCACTGTGAGTGACACAGAAATGCATTCATATGCTCACTAAGCGGGGTTTCCCCAGAACATGTGTTAACAGAGGTGACTTGTGTTTCATTTCCACTCTGCTATAATTAATCTCTTCAAGCTACTATATAATTTGAGTAATTAATCAGTCATCTGCTGAGCTGAGTTAGATGGTCATCACTGCTAATACAGTTTAGTTTGTATGTGATGGTCTTATCCAATAAAGATGTTGTCTTTGCCGTCTGATGAGTAGGGTTGGAAACCGACTAACACATGAATTAAATCTTAGTCTTAAAACAAAAACTAGCAGTTATTAAACTTATCGACTTACAAGGGACAGCCCTAGTTCTACCTTAGATTAAATGATTACATTATATATATATTTTATATTTCATTTCATTTTATGGTGCAATAACTTCCTGATATATTAGCTGATGATATATATGGGGAAACCCTGCTTGGTCACACATATTCACTCTTATTTCTATTCTTCAGTACATATGTACAGTACAGTAGATAGACTCATTCAGCTCTGAAACATTCGTCCACTAGTTTCACGAAGCTCCAAGTCGTCTTGATTTGCAGTGGAATAGTTTTGATTGTTTTTAGAAGGTTTAAGGCAGAAGTTTAAATGTTAAAAATGTATTTAAGAAATCCATTATGATACTGATGTCTCTCTCTTCTCCCTTTCTCTGTGTGTGTGTGTGTGTTTCCACCTGACACCAGCAGGACTGCTTCACAGTGGAAGGAGAGGATCTGAAACATGACTTTGAGCGGCTGCAGCTCGCCATGGAGATGGTCGGCTTCTTACCCACCACACGCAAACAGTAAGATCAACTGTACAACTGTTGATTTATATAAATAACCGATTCATGTTATGGATAATCATAAGACATAGAAACAAAGGCACCCACGGATAAAGAGATTTTTCCAACATGGTCCCAGTATAATAGACAACAAATTCAACATAAAAAAACTAAAACAAGCATGATATCCAAACATATGTAACCACAGGACAACAAAAACAATCATTGCATTTTACTATAAATGTCTTACCGATGATCACAAAACCTCATCCCTGTCTGTAAAATCAGGGTCAAGTGGTTTACTGAAATGTATTTCTTGTGGAAGATTTTTTCCTAAAGCACACACAAATCTATCTGTAACTACTAACTCTTTATCCGATTTTCATTCAGGCACTGGTCAATAGTTTTGTATTTGATTAACAAACAAGAGTGGTATCGATCTTCTCATCTTACTTAAAGATTACAAATAAGAGTACTGTATTACCTAAATGTTAAACTACTCCTTTTTAGGAGACAAATAGAGTCCCTAAACTCATTTGTATTGAATATTTAAAAAGGTGTAGGTCAGGAACTTTTGTATAGTCATGTTCTTCGCTCGGCTTGAATCAGAAATTGTGAATATAACTTGCACCCTGTTCTGAACTGAATAAACTATTATAGATAGATATTTAATCAGATACAAAGTCTTTGGGGATATAAAGAGACATCTAGTAGCAGAAATGCCACAGGATGTTACCCTACAAGGTGTCCTGATAAAGAATCCTTGAGCAGAGAAACTGAATTCAAGTGGTAAAACATACTCAATAGGAAAATGTCTTAACAATAAGTGCCTTTTTTCTTCTTCTTCGTCTTCAGGATCTTCTCCCTGCTGTCAGCGATCCTCCACCTGGGAAACATCCGCTACAAGAAGAAGACCTACAGAGACGATTCCATCGACATCTGCAACCCAGAGGGCCTGCCCGTGGTCTCCGAGCTGCTCGAGGTGAGCGGCACAATGCAGCGTTTCTATCGTATACAAGTTCAAATGTTGGCCATTAGTAAAGGTCAAATCCATCGACACATTGTATGTAATGCTGTGGAATGGCAAGTTGAGTTTTAATAATAATGCAGTTTTAATGTGGAAGTCCAATGGAAAAAGCCACTTGTCCTTGTCAGATTACTCGGTACATTGTGTCTCGCCGACTCCAAATACTTTGAAGGATAATAAAAATGAAGAATTGGAGCAGGGATTTACCGCAGAGCTTGTTTTTCTCCCTAAATACTTTCTCTGCCATTTTGTCTCCAAAAGTGATTCTATTACACGCTTACTGGAGATACTTGAAACTCCACAGACTTCAACATCCACTGGAGTTTGAATGAGTTTTCCTTTTGCTGTGTTTTTTCTTTTTCTTCTTCAAACGCTGTGAGGCATTTTGCATCCTGATGCCAGGAGTACCTTCTGTAGGAAAGAGCCTTTAGAGAGCTCTCTGCACACGAGTACTGCTTGTTGTGACAGTGAGAGCTTCAGGTCTCAAAGAGCCGTCCAACCATCCGGCGCTTCAACTAAGTTCAGTTAGTTTTGAAGCTATTTTCAGACCTCTTGTGGTGCCTTGCTGTTGCGAGAGTGGGAACAGATCATTGTTGACTCAAATCACCTGCATGGTCAAATGATATTTAAATGAGTGTAAAAACAACAGTGAAATGTTTTGTAAAGCACTTATTTTTCACAAAGTGCTGATTATTTCTAGCTTAGCTGTTACGGCCCATCCACACTACAGCTTCAAAAAAAGCTTGGAGCTGGGCGTGTCTGAAGCTTGGGGATTTTATTTGAGCACCACGACCAACAACCAATCACATGAATCTCCCGCCCCCGACATACAAAGCAAAAAACCCCGGGGATTTTATGTGAGCAATATATATATATATATAAACTCCCCAAACAGGCGAAGACCTACCAGTTTCACCCACTGTCTCTGCCACCTCCCTCCATGCCTGGTTCCTCCGGTTTGTATCCCGGTAGGTGAAGAGGGTCTGGTCATACAAAACCAGGTGATTTGCTACGGCGATAATTAGTTTCTCCTCCATCTTTTTTTGAAATATAGAAATTAACGGCGGGATATCTCTCCCAGCTTAGACGCGGTTTGATTGGCTAGGGCTTGAGCTGTCAGATTTTCAGAAACGGGATTTGATTGGCTGGCGCTGGCTACTCCGGCGTTTCCGGCGTCAGAAGTTGAACATTGTTCAACTTCTGACGCCGGAGACGGACCGCTATGCTACCCACAATTCAGTTCGGCGAAAAGCGAGGCAACGTGACGTCACCCCATTCAAAGTGAATGGGCAGACGCGTTGGAAACCGTTTTTGAAGCTGTCGAAGCTGTAGTGTGGACGGGCCGTTAAGGTCTGTCTCTAATGGATGCTTGTTGGTTGGTCAGTCTTGTCCTTGCTTGCACAATGCAATCATTACTAATATAATTGCATAGTTAGTTTGCCCAGTGGCGGCACTTTGTCTCTGTAAATAAAGTTCAAATGAAGTTTAGCCGACATCTGGATTCAACAACAATGTTTTGGTCAAACTGTAGAAGTAAATTGCCTCGTAGATTACTTTACATGTGCATTGTGGGCAGTCTCACGCTGGTTAATTCATTTTAATATGTTTTATAACCTCACTTTTGTTGCATTATTTATTGTATAATTGCACAATCAAAAAACTAAACAGTTAAAAGCATTTATTTAGGCTTTGATCTGCGCATAATGTTTATTTTAATTACCTTAATCTAGAAAAATGTTGTAATTATCGTCCAAATGATGACCAGAGACATTGAAAAAGATGTCCTGGCTGGGTTAACGTGCGTTTACAAAGTGTATGATGTTGTGCTGAATGTGTGTTCAATCTTGACACTGAGTGCAAACCACACACACACACACACACACACACACACACACACACACACACACACACACACACACACACACACACACACCACACACACACACACACACACACACACACACACACACACACACACACACACACACTTGTTTTCTGTGAGGACGGCTCAAACATCCACATGCTGTTCTGATTTTCCTCGGGTCGAGGGATGGTGGCCAGTCCCCGTTACAAACTGCAACGATTAGCCGGATGTGCTTGTTGAGTCGCTGACAAAACAATGTCCGAAGTGTGCTGGAGCCTCCTGTCAACAGCCCGGCGGGATGTTATGACTGAGGAGGACCGCTCTGGTTCCCCTTTAACATCCAGGCCGGGCTCTTCGACTCTCCACAGGTCCAGGGTTCAGTGACGTGGGCTCAGCCACATGTCGGCCACATGTTCGGGTTAGTGTTTTAAGTCCAAGTTTATTTGGATGTCTGTTAGTTGGTGCAATGGCTATTTGTCCCCACTCCTCAGGGACGTATAAAACATTCTTAAAAGGAATAAGAAGAAAGAAGGAAAAACGAAACACGGCCTAATGAATCAAACAAACAAAGAGAAACATTAAAACTGCATTTGGAGGGCGATCTGAACTCTTTACTGTGGCAACAGAATGTTTTACTGAGACAAAAGAGGGGTCAACCAATGGGAAATCACTTGTATTTCATGTGAGTAGTTTACTAAAAGGGCAGATACTTAAAGCATAAGCATTGTTTTTGTTTGATGCATGCAACAATTCTTTAAAATTATGTTTTCCAGAAATAATAAGTACACATTTTTGATGTTTATTGGAGAAATAAATTGGTAAATTGCCTATAAAGGTCAAATGGTTGCTTTCATTGAACTGTAACTTGACAGAAAAGCATTTACTATGATTTAGACAGCAAGTGCCTTTGAATTTATTTTCTAATTGAATTAGCTCGATGCTAACAGAAAGGATGTACAGACCAGACAGGCGCCATCAAAAGTACTTAGCACTTAGTTTTTATTGGTGATGCATGACTTTATTTGAAGACCCTTTGCATAAGAGAAGATGCTAAATGGCTTTTTAAGGTTTGTTAAAAGCAGTTATGCGTGGGTCATGCCAGACTGGAAAGCTCAGCTAAAGTGCACAAACAAGTGAAGTCGTAATATGAATGAGTAACCAATTGTTTAATCGGTCTGTACTTTGACTTTGACATGTAATCTATAATTTCACTCAGGATAGGATGTGAGCTCTAAGTGTGGTATAAGTGATTGGCACCAGTGTGGATTGATGAATGAATAGGAATGAAACTAGTCAGGACTTCCTGTTTCCTGTGGATGTGGCACTGGAGGAGGAAGTAGACGGCTGATGGACGGCTGACAGACTGGATCCTCTGAGCGGGGGAATTGAGTGATTTGAGCTTACCACAAAACATTCCTGTGCAAACTGGTAACCGGTCCACAGAGAGTAGCTTACTGTAACGACAAATCCCACTCAAGCCTGCATTTGTTGATGCCATTTATTTGTAAAAACAGTACCTGAAAACACAGTTTCTAAGCCCAAGGCCACTTCATCAAAGTCGAAAATATGCCGATTTTATTTTCCCTAGTAGTTACCATTTCTGCAAAATATAGGAAGGTTACTCATTGTGATTATTTTGACTGGAGGATGGAGGATCTGTACCAATCAAGATTATTTTTTTAACAGGGACTTTCTGAAGCATCACAATAATTGCAATAGATGTTTTTAAAAAAAAAAATATTTAGCCTTTACCAAGTATAACAGTTAATGAGATTTGGATATTGCACTAGTGCTAGATAGCAATTACAATAAAATACCATCTAATTGCAACCCTTTCAATACATTTTTCAATTCTATGAGCCTTTTTTAAGATCATTTCCAGCCTTCAGTGACATGTAATGTTAAAAGCAGAACTGTTAGTGATGTCAAAGTTCATGCACAGCTGTGATTGGTCCATTGAAACAAAGAAGTGGAGCCAATGATCTATGAATGTTGGTGTTTAACAAACATAGAAGATAGAGAACGGCATCTGTCAGAGATTACGATTTGCTCTGAATCAGACTCTTCATGTCTTAGGGGGAAAATAAATAAAAAAGGTTAATACAACAACACCATCGCTGACCCCAGACCAGTGTTTACAAACTCCTGTATGTTATGGCGTTATAGACGTGATCATAGGCGGAGCTGCAAGCCTGTTACCAAGCGACTAATACATGGAAATGTACCGGCTAAAGACCAATCACTAGGCTGCAGAATAGGCTTTGCTTTTTTTGTAGAGGGATTACCATGCAGTGTGAAATGAAGTCTGATTATGCCACCCCCCAAAACACACACACACACACACACACACACACACACACACACACACACACACACACACACCACACACACACACACACACCACACACACACACACACACACACACACACACACACACACACACACACACACACACACACGCACACACACACACACACTTACACACATGCAGCCTTTCCCCCGTCTGTTTATGTTAAAGCCTGAACAAAAGGAGCCAGTTGACAAAAATAGATCCATAATGGTATTAGCTGTAACACTCTTGACTGTTGCACATGAAGACGTCAGACAATCACACAAAGACATGCTGCCACATGTACTCACACACACATAAAAAAACACACTCACACACACACTTGGTCTGAGCAGCATCTGGTCGGCCCACTCCCATAATCCCTATAGATGTAGAAGATGTGTGTGGTGACATCTGCTTCTCACTGTGGCCCCTGTCATCAATGGTTCGTCTGGGGCCAAGTTTAGAGTCAGTGTGAACTCGCCACATAGTGTTGTACTGTACGTATGTGTGAAAGGGGCAGAGAGCCGTGTTTACGGGCTAATCTTGGCCAGCTGCGTGGGTTAAAAGCAGCAGAGTTATTGTGAGCAGAGGCTTAGTAGATTGTTAGGGATGAGTGATATGGATAAAGTCTTCTGTCATCAGGGTAATGTATGCTGTGTGCCACTTTTTCCTGGAAAGTCAATTGAGAAACAGCTTATACTGTAGAAAGAAATAAACAAATGTGATATGTCTGTCTTTAGCTTATACATTGAGGAAAGTATTCCACTACAACCACATATATTAACTACATAATAATCTTGTTTTAATCAAGAAACTGTTTGGGTAATGACATATTGTCTAATGGTATGCAATTGGACTCATTGTCCAGCCATGTGTCAAGTGTTTTAATGTACATAATACATATATTTGATATTTATCACATTGTGCACAATACTTGCAAACAAATCATATGATACGAAATGTTATTTTCCTCTTCTGAACATTCAATTATACAGTATATACAGTATAAGTTATTTTAGTTAGAGGTTGGAGTCAGCTGCAAGAAAGCTTCCCTGGTAGATGTCAGGTGTTTTGTTTAACCATCACAACTATATGCCTTACTTGAATTCTGTATGTGGACATTTTTGTATGTCTGTTGCATTATGGGAAGTGTAAGATTCTGCATTATTTGGAATCAGACCCATACATGGATCTAAAAGTCTTTATATCTCAGCTTCTGCTGTTTAAATTGTACTCATTCCTTTTTGTATCTGTCTCTTGTGAGTCTTACAGCGTTATGGAAGTGCAATATTACATTTCGGAGAACCCCTTTAATAAAAGCATGCCTTTGGACATTATTGGACCGGGGCATAGCTGCATGTTTTTGTTCTTACTGTTCCCATGACTTCATCACTTTCACCCATCAAAAAAGGTTTATCACAAAAATAATCTCACAGCTCTCTGCAGAGAAATAACTTTTGGTATGATCAGTAGCCATGTTTAATACTAACAAGGTTTGTTTTACTATTGATGCCGAGTGCAATCATTTGACTCTAATAAGTCACAACTTAAACAGCAAATCTCTCTGGCAACATGTTAGATCTCTAAAGCCCTTTTCCCACTGGACAAAAAAGAAATAACACCCACTAACATCTGGCTTTTGTCTTTAACGGAAAAGGTTACAATTTGCATTTACAGTATTCCTGGGACAAATCATTTATTAATTTGAACTCCTTTAATGAAATGCTATGATGTGGGTTAGTCAATACATGGTTTTCTAAAATGAATACAGTTTTGGACGAGTAATATCATTTATGTACAAACACAAAAAAACACCAGACTCCATTGACAGAAACAGCCATTTTACCTCGCTGATCTTCGTATAACACGCTTTATTTAAGCTCAACAGAAACAAGTTTAAACACGTCCAACAATCACCAACTCTGGTTTGTTGGTTTGAGAGAGGGACTAGATTAGTTGCAGATATGAAGATGAACAATTCCATTATTTACTTACCCTGCTATTATTTCTTGCTGCACAGACATGGCATCAAATGTTACACACCAAAAAAAGAACAGAAACATATATTCAACACATACAGTACAGTATTAACACTTACAGTCAAACTGGGTGTGAAATCTAGTCAATCTCAAGTAAGCATTTGTAGCCGATAGTTTGGTTATGAAGTGCCTCAGCTGTAGAGGAGATTCTGTGTTTGTGTGTGTTAAGCTGTGGAGTTTTTCTGGGGAGTTTGTTGTGGTACTTCCCCAGCCCCCCACCACTCCTCTCTGTAAGGCTCTTTTGATAGAGGGCTCTTCCTTTGCAACTTCCTGCTTCCTGTCGAGTCAAGGAACAGGAACAGGGCAACTCGTCTACTAGAAACGGGAAAGGAATCAATGTTTTAGGCAGGTTCTCCTGTGCCTAAAAAGCCTACATATAAAAGCATGTGTTGGTGGAATAATTAGGCACCAAACCCTGATCTTGACCTTTTGTCTTTGTTTCCCTCATCAGGTCAAAGAGGAGATGCTGCTGGAAGCTCTGACCACCAGGAAGACGGTGACTGTCGGAGAGAGGCTCATCGTACCCTACAAACTTGCTGAGGTAACATTTTGTATTCCTCACAGCATCTACATACAGCAACACATCAACATGTGACATCTACCTACCTGAGTCTCAACTACACAGACTGTATCTGACCTTTACAGTGTCCTAAAACAGATGACATATTACTGGTAAATCCCCTTACTATGTCATTGCACTTTTTTTAAACTTTGCCTAACATTGGCGGATATATTCAACACATACAGTATTACCACTTACAGTCAAAATGGGTGTGAAATCTAGTCAATCTCAAGTAAGCATTTGTAGCCGATAGTTTGGTTATGAAGTGCCTCAGCTGTAGAGGAGATTCTGTGTTTGTGTGTGTTAAGCTGTGGAGTTTTTCTGAGGAGTTTGTTGTGGTACTTCCCCAGCCCCCCACCACTCCTCTCTGTAAGGCTCTTTTGATAGAGGGCTCTTCCTCTGCAACTTCCTGCTTCCTGTCGAGTCAAGGAACAGGAACAGGGCAACTTAACCCACGTCCATACAGACTCTGCACTCAGCCAAATCTACCTCCATTAGGCTTTAGATGACTGAGAAAGATCCCCATCATTTGGGCAATGATCACATGATAACAGTTTCTCTCTTGAAAAGGTCTAAATGCACAGGTCTCTAAATCACATAATGTCTGCCATTGTTTTTCTGCCATACAGTGTTTTCTTTGTTTATCTTTCTGTCCCCAAAGCTTTTGATGGTTAATCATGGAAGTGAAATCAGTCCAGCTCTTGTGTCTGCAAGGAAATGCTACTAGATAGACAGTTACGCTACTCAGTTCAATCCCCCCATCTGATCTGAGTGTTAGTTTAGCCCAACAATGGTAGCTCCCGCTCTCACCCCCCCCATCCTTACAGTCATGTGGTGTGGTCTCAGGAATGTGCAACCTCCTCTGGAATATACAGTAATGAGTCCAAAAGCCAGATCCGGAGGGTGTCTTTCTTTCTCTGTCAGTTACAAACACAAACATTCCCCTTTTATTGACTATCTGTGTAACAAACACTCAGACAATGTGATCAGAAACGAAATCCTAGACAACAGCCTATAGCTACGATAAGCCCTGTCCTGCAGGTTATGGTGTCAAGTCATGGAAGTTCCCTCCTGTCCTTCACAAGGTAGTGTTATCTTGAAAGGAGCAAGAGTTAAAGGGATATAGTTAGACCTGGAGAGAATGAGGCGGCGACCTTTCGATCTCTGAAAGTCCCCTATTGACCAAAAAGGAAAAGATTGAAAAAACAAGATACCATAGCTAACGGGAAACCCCCAGTCTTATGACTTGTCACCATATACTGTAACTGTTTTCTATCGCTTTCCCAGTAATAGTTTTTGTTCAATTTGGGGAAGCAAAACAAGCTGCTAATGGACTGAACTGAAGTGGATTTTCAGTTTTCAAGGTATGACATCTATGCCGCTCCATTCTCCAATATTCAGCATTTCCAAGTTCCGAGCGTGGGATGGGATGAAAGGGCTCTTTTGCTGAAAAAAAGCTTCCTGATATACCTTCAAAACAACAATGCTTTGCAACAAGGGATCCCTTTTTTACATACAGTGCATTTTGTCTAATGATGAATCACGGATACATACATATTAATTTTAAGTGGGTTTAAAAAATAAATACCTTTTGAACATTAAAGCATGGAGAGATGTCACAGTAGAGACACACGATACACATTTGAACCTGAGAATGGGCATAATATGTCCTCTTTAAGCCACTTCAACAGTAACCCACTAATTTGCTCTATGCATTCTCTAGCCAATAACCTGTAACTTAACCAACACATGTGTCTAACCCCAGCTCTTATACTGTCCTAAACCTAAATCTTTAATCCTTAAAAAGACTCAAACAGGCTTTTAAAAAGGGAATATCGGCCAAACTCCCCTCTCCTTTTATTATAAATCCTCACTCTGTAATACTGAAATTGGTTATCAAAAAGATGAATGTATAACCGCCCACACACACCAGGAGAGCATTGAAAAAGAAGACCTGCTCTGATCTGACTCAGGGGCCGTGGGAGAGAACTGAGGCCACCTGTTGAATCCATAACACGCCTGCTTTTATTCAAAGGAAATGTGGAGAAAATAACCTGGCAATTGTTTCCGCTTATTCTCAGAAATGAATTATTCCTACTTGGATGAGGAAGGTTGAGTAAGTGTGCTAGGCAGCTGTCTCATCCACCCACAGTTAGATGTGGAGGCTTTGGCTCGTGACCTGCTGAACCTCGGTGGGCTGCAGAGTGGAGGAGCTGGTTTTCCCCCAACCTCAGCCAATAAGATGCCTGAATTCATTGGATGGGCCGTGGTTGAGTCAGGTGGAATGCATTTATGAAACACTTGGGTTTGAGTAGTAATGAGAGTAAAACTATTTCCCATTTCTTGCAGGGAAACTGTGCTTGGAAACCTCAAAGGAAGTCATAATCTGGAGTTTGTTAAAGTGTTTCAGCATTACTCAAAGAATGAATGTGTCGTCACAGTGCAACATTTAAGTTTTCAATCCAGCTTTCATATTTCTTTTTTTTCAAGCTTCCCGTCATTTTGTTTTTTTCTTCAAGCCTTGATAATATGTATTGCACATTAAAGAAACATGTTTTTTTAATCAAAAAGGCCCCCTGCTGCTCAGATTTTATTAATCTAATAATGTTTTCTCAGAAAAGGTAGAGAAACATGGTTTATATTTTCAGTTATGCTCTGCAATTGGGAAATCTGGGATCATTGCCTTTCTGTCGTTTATCGTCCATATTATTCACATTTGACACAATAGCCTCAGCTGTACTTTGCTGGATGATTAGCAAATTATTATATGAGCTTTTTTTGTCTACTGTAGATTTTTTATCTTGTTATATGCATATCAAATTGTGAGCTCTGTCACTGTGCATTTAGACCTCGTTGAGACTTAAAACTGAAACCAATAATGGAGACTATTATTACAGTACATGTCACTTGTTAGATGCTTTTATCCAAAGCGACTTACATACTCAACACTGTGGGCAATCCCCACAGGAGCAACTTGGGGTGAAGTGTCTTGCCCAGGGACACAACGACATGCTGGCTGCAGTGGGGTTTGAACCTGATCCGAACACCAACGCTCAACCCACTGCACCACACGCCTCCACTATAACTATAACAACATATGGTGTTATGTTGAGGCCAGGGGTTTATACAAACCAAGGTTTTACCAGGGCATAACCTTGCTTAAAATAAACACCTGTATTAAGTTATCATTGATAACATTTATGGTGAAATTATGGGGAATTCCAGCTTTTTGTCAGCCATGCTGGGCGATAATAATGTCAACCTTTGTGGTTAAGCTCGAGTTTGGAGAAATGTATAGTATTTCAGGCCTGGAGAAGTGAGAAAAGACATCAGTTTGTGCAGAGCTGCAAGATCATGATCGCATGTGTGTGTGTGTGTTAAGGTGCACATGCATGTGAGCCCAGGTTTATTAAGATAAGGCGTGATGTCTGACTTTGACATATTAGATGGTGGCTCAAGATAATCTGACTCCACCACTTCCTTCTTCCTGTTTAAAGACAGACATGCAGTGGAAGAGAGGTGGGAGCAACAACACACTCATTCATTTGCTTAAAGGTTTCAAATGCGTTGAAGTTCCTAGTCATAATGAGAGTGGAAAGGTAATCACCCATTGCTTAGGGATTGTAAAATATAATGAAGGTACACTGATAGAGAAAAACAACAACTCCATAAATATAAATTTAAAACATGTGCAGCGAAAGACACACAAAACGTCCTGCAGTGAGGAAGCCAGCAAGCCACGTGCAGTGTGAGCTCATGCTGCTATTTCACACCTCCTGCTGTTTCCAGGAGAGAGAAATAAATGGAAAGAAAGAGTTTAACAACAATTCTCATTCTTGAGCAAAGCCTTATAATCACCAACACCGGCTCTTACTAACAGCCAGGACAGTTTACAAAAGTCTCTGATAAAGTGATTATTTTGTCAGTTTCTTGGGTGGCCCTCCAGCAAAACATTTTCTACCCATTTGCTTCGTGCCATGTTCCCTCCTAGTTCCTAACTGGTCCCATTGTGGTGAATAATTAAGTTACATTGCAAACACAGAGACAATTCATGCCCAGTGAGCGCGTCAAATGTTCACATCTCATCCGGCAATCCCCTGAGTTCCTGCTGAAGCATTTAAATTGTCATCAAACGTTGTATTATTCATAACAATCTTTCATAACGTTGTGGGAGCAGGAACGTCACAAGCTAAAAATACTCATAACAATCAATAATGTAAAAGTGAGAGGCGGCTTTTATAATGAACAGTTTTGCTTCATCACGGCTGTTGGCGGCAGTGTTTCTAAGGTTTATCCGGTTCAGAGTCCCACAAATGCCTTTTAACGAGGGGAATATTACATTATTATTACATTGCATTTAGCTGACGCTTTTATCCAAAGCGACTTACAATAAGTACATTCGACCAGGAAGACACAACCTTGAAGAAAACAGAATCATATAAGTACATCAGGTTTCATAGAGCCAAACATTTCAAGTGCTACTCAACTGGCTTTAGATAAGCCAGTCCTTAGTATAAAAGTGCTTCGTTAATAGTTCTATCGCTCGAAGTGGAGTCGAAAGAGATGAGTTTTCAGTTTGCGCCGGAAGATGTGCAAGCTATCTGCCGTCCTGATGTCAATGGGGAGCTCATTCCACCATCTTGGAGCCAGGACAGCAAACCCACATGTTTTCGCCGATGGGAACTTGGGTCCCCCTCGCAGCGAGGGTGCAGCGAGTCGTTTGGCTGATGCAGAGCGTAGTGCACGCGCTGGGGTGTACGGTTTAACCATGTCCTGGATGTAGGAAGGGCCAGATCCATTCGCAGCATGGTAAGCAAGTACCAGTGTCTTGAAGCGGATTCTAGCAGTTACCGGAAGCCAGTGAAGGGAGCGGAGGAGCGGAGTGGTGTGGGAAAATTTAGGAAGGTTGAAGACCAGACGAGCCGCTGCATTCTGGATGAGCTGCAGAGGTCGGATGGCACATGCAGGTAGACCAGCCAGGAGGGAGTTGCAGTAGTCTAGGTGTGAGATGACGAGAGCCTGGACCAGAACCTGAGTCGCTTTCTGTGTCAGCTGGGGACGTATCTTCCTGATGTTGTAAAGCGTGTATCTGCAGCATATGTATGTTTTTATTATTATATAACTGATCTAGGACATGTATTCATAATCATAACTAATGTTCCTCTAGTGATTGTGTGCCAGTTTTTGTTCGTTGTTTCATAAAGCTTCAGACCTACTTCCTCTCACCAATTTGGTTTGTCTGAATGTGCATCCCTCTCAAACAGGGATGTCACAGTGTGCTGCTGATATTTTTAGTTTAATCTTCATTTAATCGGGCAAATCAATTAAAGCACATGTGTCAAACTCAAGGCCCGGGGGCCTAATCAGGCCCTTGGTGGATTTAATTTCGGCCCTCAGGATCATTTCTAATTACTATTAGATCTGGCGCTCCGGTATATTGCACGCACACCTTCACTCCACCCTGAGGGTCTCCTCAGCTCAGAGCCTGACCCCAAACATTGATGACCTTGCACCCGAGATGAGATGCCAAGTATCTGGCTTGAACTAGCATCACAGAGCAGCACACTGAGTTGAAATGGATGTTTCCTTCTGCACTTTCTCTCTCACGACAACAGGGCATGTTTGGGTTGTTCTTTGAGGGGAATTTTTTTTTTGAAGCTGTTGTTGGCCTGTGGAAAAATGTAATCATAAGAAATGACTCAGATAGCAGATAGAGCCATAAGAAATGAATGCAACTGATTATTTAATGTTTAATGTTGTTTTTATAGGCAATCATTTAAGCTTTGTTAGTTCCAGGTTTCATATGTGCAATAAGTTCATTCAATAAACATTGAACCAGTCCGGCCCTCGACTAGTACAGATTTTTTGATTTTGGCCCACTGTGTATTTGAGTTTGACACCTCTGAATTAAAGGATAGGTTCAAGTATGTCTAAAAACAAGAAATATGCCTATGGGATGATTCATTCCTAAATACATTTCAATGTAAGTGATAAGGGACAGAAACCATAGGCTGTGTGAAAATATATTCCTCTGGAAAAAAAATGTAAGGCATTTTTTCAGCATTTCTAGTGAAAATGCTACATGTTTTCAGCGACTGTAATCTTAAGAACATCTATTTATATTATTGATGTGTGTTTTGGGAATAAGCAGGCACACTAAGAGTTCATTTCCCTGCTTCGGTTTGGTCAAGGAATCTGAAAATAGAGTCCTATTTTGTGAATCCTTTTTCTCCATTCAATCTACTACCATGAGTATAGCAAATCAAATGTATAAATCTACGGAGAGAGATGACGTCCCGTATTTAATCCTGCACTACCGAAGCGCCGATTTCATTTCTCCAATTGGTGGAAATAGTCTTCCTCCTAGAAATACTGGAATCGCAAAACAAATCTGCACTGGAACCAGGCTGCATGTGTCTCTGCAATTTAGCACTGATAGAGATGTCATGATTTTTGCAAAGTTCACAGTATAGAAACTGAAGGACGAGGAAGAAAATTCGAGGAGTGAGGATGAAGATAAGATGTTAGCAATTAATTTACATTCAGATGTCCGGAGCATCCTATTGAGCTGTTTGGAAGGATGGTAATGTTTAACATAAATTACACATGTGTTGTTAATTCAGACTTGTTTATTTGACAAACAAGTGTACTGTTGTACATAATTAAACATCCTGTTGTTGTGAGTGTCTGTACTTGAGATAAAAACACAACACAGGTCAATCAGTTTACTTATAAGGTAAAATTGTGAAATCCAGGGTCTTTTAGAAAGTGTGATTCTGTGTGTTTTCACTTACCTAGTCTCTTCCTGATTTCCCATTTCTTGTTTCAATCCCTGTTAAATAAAACTGTGATTGGATTAGTCTCTTCAAATTGGGATCTCTGTTTTAATGCATAGTTATTTCGGGGGTCCTGCCATGAAAATGTTTGACCTAGTTAAGCAGACTCTGTCTTGTTCCTCTCACCATTCAATCACAACACGTTTTGCTGCCAAACATCATGCACTGATGTCCAAGTCTCCATTTAATTCTGCTTATGTTAGCTTAACATGCCTTTCATCATGCCTAAAGAGAAAGCAGTTGCTCTTTGGCTTGTAGAGGCGTAATAATGGCTCATTTTGGCAGCGTTGTTTTAATGGATCAAAAAAGGCGTTCCATAAAAAGAGTTGTTCAAATAGTGATCTGCAGGTCTGGAGGCACTTAAAGCTCTGGCTCCTGAATGAAAACACCTAATATATTACAACACTTCGCACAGCAAGGCTCCCGAACATATTATGAACAGTAACTCAGAGTCACGAGCAGCGCGGGAGCTTTAACACAGGCCGTGTTTAGTCTATAAATAAAAAGAAGCTGATGTCATTAACCCTTTGACAATGTATTAATCACAACAGCCTGGCATTTCCCATCTCTAAATCACAGATGTATAGTTGATTTCAGACTGTTAGCATTGATGAACTTCAGCTAAAAGGTAGGCTACTTTTGTCCCTTGAGAAAGATGAATGCTAGCTAATGTTGGCTAGTGTTGTTAATGATGTATCCTAATAAACATATGTTCGATGTATGGTTCTTTATTAGCTAGTTTTTTAGAAGAAGGTGAGAGGAGAAGATTGATAGCATTCTCATGTGTATAAGATCATGCTAAATATGAACCAGCTGGCAATTAGCTTAGCATAAAGACTGGACGCAGTGGGACAAAGCTAGCCTGGCTTTGTCACAAGGTAAAAAACAACACATGCACCTTAGCTAATTCTTCATAAAACCACCAAAAAACTGTCTCTTTCAAAAAATAAAAAGATATATTTCAACTTTAGTAAGAACCAGTTCAGCAGTTTCCCCTACTGCTAGTTTTTATGGGAAGCTAAGCTAATAGCCTCCTGGCCATAGTTTGAAATGTAGGCTACCATACGGATGAGATTGGTATTGATCTATTTGATCTAATTCTGGTAAGGGAGTACATTTAATATTGAGCCTAATACTTAAGGATTTATAATCAATAAAATGTCAATAAATACTCAAACCCAACTCAAGGTGCACCAGTGGCGGTTCTAAACCAATTTGACTGGGGGGCCAGTTATTTTCTGAGGGGGGCACAATAAATGCAGGACGAAAAAGAGAACTAGACAGTATGAAGTAATTGCGCATAAGAAAATAATGCAATACAGTTATTGGTATTTGTTTCAGTACACTTATTTATTTCAGATATATCTTATAGTTATTACTGTTAGCTTCAGCTTAAGTTATAGTACAATTTTTGCACTAACACCATATCATATTTATATAAAAATAAAGTCAATGAACAGTTACATCTCTACTTTACATCTACAATTACACGGATACAATAGTTTAACTCACCTTCAATTATCGTGGTAGTCTCTCGAAACGTAGGTTTCAATCAGTCTTTCTTGGATGCAACAGCCTCTGATGATCCGAGATGAAAAGTGTTTGTTTTTTGCGCGCTTCAGCCGGACAGTGAAAGTGAGTGCACCCTCTAATGGGTCCTGAGTGCACCGCTCTAATGGGTCCGACTAGAATGACGAATAACGTTAGTTCCGCCTATTCCGTCATTCAATAAATCGTGTAATAAATCATACATTTTTCTTTTTTTTCACTTTTCATTTTTAGGGGGGCCACAGGGGGGTCAGAGGTCAGTGTTAGGGGGGCACTGGCCCCCACCCCCCCTAGAACCGCCCCTGCGGTGCATTCAACAGCAAATGTTGCGTATTTCTTTCTCCTTATAAATGACCTAAACACTTGTTGGCAATTCATTATAGTCTTCAACTAATTAGAGTAATAATGTGAAACAGATGTTATTGTAGCCATATCAAATTAACGACAGTCCTATTTTTGATTCAAAACACTTTCCTTTCCAGTTTTTCACCACAGTATTTCAGAGCTGTCTCTGCTCTGCTTTTCCTTGCGGTTTCTTTCATTTTGTTCCCTCAGTGACTCCCATCAGATGACTCAGCCTCTCCCTGACAGAGCAGTTCATTAGACCTCTTCTCTGCCCATTTCACACATTTAAACATGACACTGATCCAGTTCCAGAGAGGAGAGAGGGAACCATTATTGTCGTGTTTGTGGAGAAGCGCTGACATCAGTTGGCGGGTGTTTGTGTTTGATGTAGTAAAGTCGGCAGGTTCCTGTAATACAACGGCCACCCTGCAGAATGACTTTGCGCCACGCTGTTGAAAAAAACGGCAGCACACAACACTCATAGACAAGGAAAATAAGTCAGTAAACAAAAAGCAGAAACATTTAACTGGTTGCTGGGCATTTAATACTTGCGGGTAACCATAGAAACACTGGGAAATCAAAAAGGTTGAGCAGCAGCTGAGAGTTACTGCACCTCAGTGAGGGTAAGGAGATTGATAACACAGTTTTGGTTCCTGATTCAGATTTAGAAATCCATATGATTTGGATCATGAAGAAATTGACGTGTATCTGTGTTCTTTCTTTTTTGTTTAGGCGGGCACGGTGAGAGACTCCATGGCTAAGTCCCTGTACAGCGCTCTGTTTGACTGGATCGTGTTCAGGACCAACCATGCTCTGCTCAACAACAAGGACCTCGAGGACAACTCAAAGGTAGGGGGGAAAACAAACACATATATAAGTACACACACACAGAAATACACAATATTTGTAGGAGAGCCACATTTTATTTTCTCAAATATATATGAAAAGAGTAACATAAACAACATTTTCACCCCATAAACTGTCTGTCATGACTTGATTCTCTGCTATGGCTTTCTCAGTGTGATATAAAAATTCTACTGTGTGTGTGTGTGTTGGAGTGGCAGCTGGCAAGTAAACCCTGTGGGTGCATCTAAAGGATTAGAAAACAGTGTGTGTGTGGATGTGTGTTTCTGTGAGTGTGTGTGTGCCAAGAACATTTGGGCAGATGGCATCAGGTTCCCCTCAGCTCAGTTTACCCCCTGCGGCCCTTGGTGTGTGTGTGTATGTGTGTGTGTGTGTGTGTGTGTGTGTGTGTGTGTGTGTGTGTGTGTGTGTGTGTGTGTGTGTGTCTGCATCCCTTGGCACTGACATCATGTGTGTGTGTGTGCATGTGCGTGTGTCCTCTCTCTCTGCTGTCAGGGGGTCGATGAGGTTGCACTTTTCTGTCAAGGTCATTGTTCTGATGTACAGATAACAGTTTATTTATGTGTGTGCTCATGTATGTTTTTACTACATTGCCCTTCAGAGAGAAATAAAACACGGCTAGAAAAAATAAATTTGAATTGGAAACAGCTTTTACGGCCCATTTCATAATTAAAGGCAGCCTTTGAGTGGACGCCTCCTTCAGATGGTGCATGTTAATGAAATATGATGTCATGAATCTTACTGACACCCAGGGGGCAACCGGGTCACTGGAGCTGTGAAGAAAAGGCATCAAACGAAACACAATACAAATATCTCTAAATAATTAAGAACAGTGTTGCTGGAGGGTTTTGTTTTAATATCCTGATCCTATAAATATGTAAAGTATTAATGGAAACTGAGCTGTCTGCGTTTTTCCTCCAGACCCTGTCGATAGGAGTCCTGGACATCTTTGGCTTTGAGGATTATGAGAACAACAGCTTTGAACAGTTCTGCATCAACTTCGCCAACGAACGACTGCAGCACTACTTCAACCAACACATCTTCAAATTGGAGCAGGTAGGGTTTCATTTTCTACCTCTCCTCGTCCTCTACTCTCTGCTCTTTTCTCATTCCCTCTTCGTCCATATACACACAAAAAATAATGCAACAATTTGTAAATAAGCCGCTTCATTGTGGGCAGCTTTTAAGGAAGTCAGATGAATCATAATAGTATAAGTAACTAGTATAAGTCGGCATAAGGAAGAGGTTGTGGAGAATGGATGGGTAAAAGAAAACCAGGATTCAAACCCTTTAGACTGCGGTTCAGGTCTCGTGTGAAACCCGAAGATAATGTTGGCTTATTTTAACACATTTTTGTCAACTTACGTATTTAGATAAGTTAAATACGTAAACATATGCTAGTTATTTCAACATAAACCCCATGCAATTAGTTTTGTTGCCTTAGCATATTCTGCACTTCAGGCGCCCTAATCGCTCCTGGTGTATTTGTGGAAAAAAACACACACAAAATAGCTTCTCGTAAAAAAAGGTAATATCAAACAAACCGTGAGAGGACATGTTATTGTACTCTACCATACTGAATTCTCCTCTTTCCTCAATGCCATTTTGCCCATTTTATACCATTCAGACCAATGTTATTGTTGCATCTGCTGATAATACGTCATTGCATTTTGTATTTTGCTGCCTCTATGACGATGTTTACAACATTCAAACATTCTTTGTAAAGTGTGTGTTGGTATCGTAGTGGCGTCAGTTCATGGAGAATCACATTGTTGCTGCTGCTACACATTCTTTAAAAAATGCCTTCATGGTTTTGATTGATTCAGCTGATGGAGCGATGAATGGACTGACTACAAAAAGATTACCTGTTTATCAGATGTGTGTGAGGAGCTGCTTTTGTATTGCTGTCCATGCTTTGTTCAATATTTTTGGAAGGCCACTTTGCCCCTGACATTACAGTAGAAACGTCTGTAATTATGTAGCTAGGTTAAGTTTGCACGCATATTCATAGAAACTAAAAAGTCAGAGGAAGGGAGCTGAATTACCAGAAGAGGCTGACAGGCCGGGTAAGGGTGCAGGAGACCAGGGGTGTTTCTCAATGTCGAGTACGCTTGCTTGGTGGCACATGTCTTCCGAGCGTCTTGCTTCAGAAGCGAGGCAAGAATCCTTCCTGGCATTCAGAAAACGAAGATTGGAACAGGCGAGCAAGTGTGCAGGTGTGCGTCATATGAGAGGCCCCGCCTTACATTTTCCGCCACAGATTTGGGGAAATTGGTCCGTGCGCAAAGCATTGTGGGGATTTTAAGACCGCGGAGTCTACACATGTGCAGCCTCGAAATGTCTCCAAACGAAGTACGCTGGGCTCGGTAGAATTCCAAGTATGCTGGACATTGGAACAGTCCTTCGGCGGCACTCTGGAGCAGCTTTACTCGACATTGGGAAACACCCAAGGAGAGCTAACATTGCCTAAAGTTTTAGTTTTTTCTCCTGGCTTTGGTTTGCTTGTTTATGCCTCTGTATGGCGCCCTTTTATTTCATTTTAAATAACCTAGTGTCATTTCATCACTGTTTATCAAAGAGACACCAGCTTCATTGCACTCAAAAGGAATATTACTGAAGCACTAATCAGCTATATTATGTATTCATATATTCTCATTTACTCAGATACCCACTGCTTAAACACCTAATATTCAGTGAGCATGTTTTATTTATTTTGGTCAAATAATATCAATTGAACAAGCGCGAGATCAGTGAGAGGGAAAGAGCAGAGATGAAGGACGTTTGGACTCAATCAGTGGGAGACTGTCGCCTCTTGTCGTCTTCATTCTGAATTCTGATTGGCTGTGGCAACTTAGCAGGCGGGCAAATCGCTGAAGGCAGAATGAGGAGAAGAACAGAGTGTAAAAAGAAAAGAAAAAAAGAGAGCAGTGTGTCTGTAAACGAGCGCAATAACGTCCCTTCAGTCTCCATGAAGATCACAGGCTGCCGCTGCTGTAATGATCCTGTTATCTGTTTCTGACAGTTAGCCCTCAGGGTCCACACACACACACACACACACACACACACACACACACACACACACACACACACACACACACACACACACACACACACACACACACACACACACACACACACACACACACACACACACACACACACACACACACACACACACACACACACACACACACACACACACACACACACACTCTCTGCAGGATGTTACATGCACTAACAAACAGGTTGAGTTGCTGTTAATGAAAAATGGATGGTTAAGCACTCTATGGCTTCAATGTTAGATGTTCTGCTGTAGAAGCTAATGATTATGCAAAGTTAAAATAAGGACACAGTTGAAGTAGCTGCCATTAGGAAATAAATATGTGAGCACTCTCGTTTAAAAACGTCCTTAGATTAAGATAAGAATCCTATTTTATTTGTCGTGTTTATTTGTTTATTATCATTCATACAATTATAGGAATAAAGATTCTGTGATATTATTCTAATCAACTGATGCCAATTATAAACACAGGTACAAATGTGTATTAAAAACTAAATGCAACTTCTAGTCAGGCATTGGGAACGGTCGTTTACATACGTTTTTAAAAATGCGTTTATCTGCCCAATTATTAAGATCCACCAAAAATATAATGACTTATTTCCTTCTTACGTTTAAGTCCCCTTACATAAGCGTTAACCAAAGATACAATGAAACTTGTGGAAACAAATGATATTATTTCATTTTAAAGAGGACTGTTTTTATCATTTATGAATTTAACATGTATCTGTAAAGTGTTTTTGATCACCTTTTGAAAGCGCTCTATAACAGTAAAACTATTTACTGTATATAAAACATGTACATTTAATTCAAATCAACATCTAAAAGGCATCTAATACAAAGTCATTCTGGTTTACTGATGGTGTTGTCTCTCCGTGGCAGCAGGTGCTCGTGACTGCTGTCTGAACCTTTCACTTGAGGGTTTTTGTTCCCGTGTTATGTTCAACTAATAAGTGTCAAAGTGCCTCTGAGACGCTCGCCCTCACAGGACTCTGCCCAATATTGTTCCAGGAGAGTTCACGTTTATTATCCTTTAATCACCGGGGTCCTCCCAACCTTTGGCCCCCTGCCTCTCTTGAGTTTATTTGACAGGACAACAGTTGAGGCGGCCCCTCAGAGGCAGGTTGGTAGAGCTTCCTAATCGAGGGTTGCCAGATCTGAACTGATTTGTGTTTGTTTGAATAAAGTTTAGCAGTTCACGCCACAGGCCCCTCTACCCTCAGTTTGACGTCAAGTGGAAAGATAGCGCTCCACACCTTGGGTGTTTCTCAATGTCGAGTACGCTTGCTTGGTAGCACATGTCTGCCGAGCATCTTGCTTCAGAAGCGAGGCAAGAATACTTCCTGGCATTTGGAAAACAAAGAGTGGAACAGGCGAGCAAGTGTGCAGGTGTGCGTCACATGAGAAGCCCCGCCTTACATTTTCCGCCACAGATTTGGGGAAATTGGTCCGTGCGCAAAGCATTGTGGGGATTTTAAGACCGTGGAGTCTACACATGTGCAGCCTCGACATTTCTCCTAACAAAGTACGCCGAGCTCGGTAGAATTCCAAGTATGCTGGACATTGGAACAGTCCTTCGGCGGCACTCGATGACGTAGTATGCTTGAAATAGTGGCTCTGGAGCAGCTTTACTCGACATTGAGAAACACCCCATGTCTGATGCTTTATGTTGAACCTTTAACCGCTGCACTCAAAATGCAGACGCTTTCTTTTACAAAAACCCTGTGAGCTAAGTGATGCTAATCATGCTGAAGTCTTTGGTGAGTTTTCGACCAATTTATCAGGAAGTTTAAATGAAAATACGAAGCTTTTTGATTAAAATGTCCTCAATATTTTAAACGTATTTACTTGGAATCAACAAAAATGCCCTTTGTGAACGTTTATCAGTGTTGCTTTAATCCTGTTCTACATATTTACTGAATATGAAACCAAAACATTCACTATTACACTATTAAGTGTTTTATTCACTTTGTTAAGATCGTAGTGATCCCTCAACTGGAAATATAGTGTTTTACTCTGTTATCATATATATAGGTACAAAACATGCATTTTTTTATTGATAGGTGTCAGGGCAAAGAAAGCATTTGTGGCTTCAATGCCTTGCTCAAGGACACCTCTCGAGCTACCAGTCGACACGCTGTATTTTTGGTCCGATCGGGACTTGAACTAGTTACTGCCGCCCCCAGTAGTTTGTTTATATGTATATTTGTCAGGGTTGAGCGAAGTAGGCAGGACCCAAATGCACGTTTAACTGAAAAAATACCTTTATTTCAAGGATACAACTAGACATTCAGAGCAGAACTCTCTCCCCTGTGAACACATTAAAAAAAAACAAGGATCTCACAAAGACTAACAGAAAAAGCAGAACCTAAATGCACAAAGGACTAATCAAACAAACAAGACACAGGTGAGGAGGGAGGAGAAAACACAGGGGCACAAGGTGAACACAATCGGGTAATCAGGCAGGAGGGAACACAGAGACAGGAAGCAACAGACAAGACGGGGGTTGAACACTTTTCAAACTAAAACAGGAAACCAAAAAGACAGATCGACACAGGACAAAAATAAAACACAGACAGATCGTCATTTTTACTACATCAGAAATTAGTAGGAGAAAACACATGCTACTAACTCTGGTTCTTGTGGTTTCAATGTGGTATCTTCGGCATGCCGTCCCGTGTTTTAGGGGTAAACATCAGTTAAGTCGTCTATCTAGAATAAAGAGAACTTCAGCAGCATCTGATGATCTGATCACGACCACATTTATTTATTTGAACAAGCGTGAACCACTGCTTCCTCTTTGTCCGTCATTCTGACTTTGAGAGGTGATTTTCCATCAGGGGGATTTTCCTCCTCTCTTTCCTCCGGGCTTTACTCCCCTCCAACCAATCAGTTGGTCTTATCAGCAGCGAGTGTGTTTACCTTTGGAACAGCGGCCAAAGCTAATAGGACCACACCAACCACAACCTGCTGTGTGTGTGTGTGTGTGTGTGTGTGT